TGGGGGGCATGGGAGGGGGGGACACAGGAGGGGAGGGCACTCTCAGAGGTGGGGGCATCTTAGGGAGGGGGAGGGAGCTCTGAGGGGGCACCCAGGGGGTTGAGGGGGGGGCACATGGGGAGTCTGGGCTGGGGCCAGCCCTGGCAGACTGGAGGGGAGGGGGGCACGTAGGGGGAACCCCAACGGGGGGGCACAGTCTCAGAGGGGCGCAAGGGCACACGGGGGGGGGTGGGTGGGTGGGATGTGGTCGTGCAGGGGTGTTGCTCACCCAGCTGGGGGTCAGGAACCCGCTGCCCCCCCCCCCATGGCCCCTCTTTTGCCTCCCCTGTGCCCCCTTGCGTTGCTCCCCCCCAGCTGAACGGCGGCATCGGCATCATCCACCACAACTGCACCCCCGAGTTCCAGGCCAGTGAGGTGCGGAAGGTGAAGGTAAGGGAGGGGTCCCCCACCCCATGACATCCCCCTCGGACCCCCCTGAGCCCCCACCATGTCCCAGTCCCCGAGGAAGCTGCCACCGGTGACCGGCAAAGATGAGCTGGTGGCCGTCACCGCCCCTATCCTCAGGGTCCTCCCTTGTCCCCCTGTTCCTGGGGGTCCCCCTGGTGACCCTCCCCTCGTGCCCATAGCGGTTCGAGCAGGGGTTCATCACGGAGCCGCTGGTGATGAGCCCGACGCACACCGTGGGGGACGTGTGGGACGCCAAGGCCCGGCTCGGCTTCTCGGGGGTCCCTGTCACCCACTCAGGCCGGCTGGGGGGGCGGCTCGAGGGCATCGTCACCTCCCGGGACATCGACTTCCTGCGGGAGCGCGACAGGGGCACCCCCCTGGCTGAGGTGTGCGGGGGCAGGGGGAGGGACAGAGGGACAGGGAGGGACAGCGATGTGGCGGGTGGGGCAGGTGTGGGGCAGTGGGATGGGAAGGGTCGAAGGACGGTGGGATGAGGGGCAGGGATGGAGAAGGGGGTCAGAGGACGGTGGGATGTGGGGCAGGGGGGCTGCCCGCAGTGGCCCCAGGTCCCCTGGTGCCGGTGACAGTGACACTGCTGTTGAGGGTGACAATGCCCGTGCCAGTGACTGTGTCTGTGGCAGTGACAGCAGCAGTGCCAGTCCCCACGACAGCGGCAACGAAAATGACAGTGCCAGTGACACACAGTGACAGTTCCTGTGACAGTGCTGGTGGCAGTGCCAGTGTCAGGGACAATGACAGTGCTGGTGACAGTGCTGGTGCTAGTACCTGTACGGGGGACAGTGCCAGTGACAGACAGTGTCAGTACTAGTGCTGATACCAGTGCCAGTGCCCATGAGAGTGACAGTGTCCATGACAGTGACAGTGTCAGTGACAGTGACATGCAGGTTCCTGTGTTCCCAGGTGATGACCAAGCGCAGGGACCTGGTGGTGGCCCCGGCTGGTGTCACCCTGAAAGAGGCCAATGAGATCCTGCAGCGCAGCAAGAAGGGTGAGGGGGTCGGACACCTGTCACCCCCCCTGGGGTCACACCTGTCACCCTGGGCACCCCGTGTGGGGCACCCCGTGTGGTGACCCTGTCCCTGTCCCCACAGGGAAGCTGCCGATTGTGAACAGCCGGGACGAGCTGGTGGCCCTCATGGCCCGCACGGACCTGAAGAAGAACCGGGAGCACCCGGCGGCCTCCAAGGATGGGCGGAAGCAGCTCCGGGTTGGAGCCGCCATCGGCACCCGCGAGGACGACAAATACCGGCTGGACCTGCTCGTGCAGGCGGGGGCCGACCTCGTGGTGCTGGTGGGTGCATCCCAAAACGGGGAGGGACACCCCAAAATAGGGGGGACCCCAAAAATGGACGGGTCTGGAAATAGGGAACCCCAAAACCAGGGGTGCTGGAGGGATCGGGATGGGGACAGGGAGGGGGCTGGTGCTGCTTGTGCAGTCAGGGGACGACCTCATTGTGCTGGTGGGTGTGGGGGGACCCCAAAAACTGGTGGACCCCAAAAACTTAGGAGGGATAGAGGGGATGGGGATGGAGGGATGGGGATGGAGATGGAGCTGCTGGTGCTGACAGGGACCAGCCTGGTGGTGCTGGTGGGTGTGGCAGGGCACCCTAAAAACGGGGAGGACTGGGGCAGCTGGGGAGTTTTAGGGGATACCCCTAAATCGTGGGAGATGACTGGGGTTCCCCCCCACCTGGGAGTGGGCACCCCTCCTGCTCACTGTGTGCCCCAACCTGCTGCTCCCCACTTCACCCCCAACCCCTGTACCCCAAATCTGTCCCCCCCACCCCCAGGACTCTTCGCAGGGGAACTCACGGTACCAGCTCAGCATGATCCGCTACATCAAGGCCAAGTACCCCGAGCTGCAGGTCGTGGGGGGCAACGGTGAGACCCCAAAACGGGAGGGGGGCACCCTGGGCTGCAGGTCATGGGGGGGCAACAGCGAGCAGGGGAAATAGTGGAAACCCCAAAATGGAGGTGGGGGAAATGGGGGCAGGATTTGAGGTGCCTTGAGCAGGATTTGGGGATGGTGGAGCAGCATTTGGAGTATCCCCCCTGCCCTCCCTGTGGTGGGACAGGATTTGGGATGCCCTGGGCAGCGTTGGGGTGCAGGGTGCCCCCCTGCAGTGGTGAGGCAGGTTTTGGGGGGGTCCTAGGGCAGGATTTGGGGTGCTATTTTTGGGGTTCCCCCCAGTGGTGACGGCGGCCCAGGCCAAGAACCTGATTGACGCGGGGGTGGACGCGCTGCGGGTGGGGATGGGCAGCGGCTCCATCTGCATCACCCAGGAAGGTGGGTGACACCAGCCCGGGACCCCCCCATGACCTCCCTTGAGCCCCCTCCCGACTCCCCTGGATTCCCCTTGATCCTTGGATACCCCAAACCCCCCAGGACTCCCTGGGAACCCCAGACTTCCCACCCCCCCCCACATGGCACTGGGACCCCCTGACCCACTCTGACACCCCAGAACACCTCCAGGACACCCTGGGAACCCCCAGCCCCCCAGGGTGGTACTGGGACCCCCTGACCTCCTGACATGACACAGGGACCCCTCAGCACACACCCCCCACCTTGCGGTGTCCCTGTCCCTTCTGGTATGTCCCCGTCCCTCGTGTGCCCCTGTTCCCGCTGTCCCTGTGGCCCTGACGGTGTCCCCCTCCCCAGTGCTGGCGTGTGGCCGCGCCCAGGCCACGGCCGTGTACCGGGTGGCCGAGTACGCGCGGCGCTTCGGCGTCCCCGTCATCGCCGACGGCGGCATCCGCAGCCCCGGGCACGCCGTCAAGGCCCTGGCACTGGGGGCCTCCACCGGTGAGGGGGCACGGGGGGGGCAAAGGGGAGGAGCCAGTGGGGCAA